AGGTTAACGTGGAGAGGCACTCGCATGGGATGAAGGAAGGGAAGAAAGCCCTAGTTATCTCATAAGCACTTTACGAGCTCCTATGAGCTCAGTGTTTTCCCTGGTCTCCCCGTGGCCTCTGAGCTCCATGAACTCCTCTGACATTGTTACTCCTTGTCCTCTGTCCAAGGAGATGGTGGGCACTTCCCAGAAGTGCCACAGGAGAAGGAAACAGTAATAATCCCTGCAGATGGTGGGATCGCATCATGCTTTCTCCTTCTGGCACGAGATGTGGGCAGATTGGCCAGGAGGAGACATAAGAGGAAGGTCCACGACCGCGGTGGGGCCTTGGATGGAGGAGTACAAATAAAAGGGCAATGGGAGGACGCAGTGTGAACCTCCACGCTGCACAGAGGAGCCAGGAGAGGGACTGCAGCCCGCTGCCCGCGCGGGCTCGCGGCTGCTGCTGGGGCAGGACCAGGGTCAGGCAGATCCAGCAGCACCCAGCGTGGGCAGACAGGGCTGCGCCAAGCTGCTCACCCTGCGCTGCCTGCGGCGCTGGGATGAGGCCAAGGAGACCAACGATTTAATGAGAAAGCCAAAAGCTGGGTGAAGAAAAGGCAAGGCTGCAGGCGCACAAGTAGGATCGTCCTGCTGCTTCTTCACACTTCGGACCTTCTCCATCACCAACAGACCGTCTGAGCCATGGGGCAGGGAGGTTTCTCCGCAGTGCGGGAGCCCAAGGCACCGCTGCGATGCCAAGGACCGTGACGCTTGCTCGAGAGCGCGGTCGGCTCTGCGCTGCCCGGCTTGCACCTTCGGGATTCCAGGCAGACGCTCCAGAGTTCAAGCCTGACACCTCCCTTCTGAAGCCAAGAGCACACCAGCTCTCGTGCCGGACGGTCGCAGAAAGAGTACAGAGCAGTTACCTATCTTGCAGGGAACAAGCCAAGTACTGATTGAGAAATGTCTCCCTTGACACACTTGGAGCAGACTTAACACATTTGTCATGAAAAGCAATGGGAATGACGCAAATTCATGGGGGATCCTCGGAGACAGGAAGAGCTTCTCCCTCCCCTGCCCCGGTGGGAAGGCAGCTCCGGAGCAGCCCTGTGCCGCCCTGCAGTCCCCAGCGCTCCCCTTCCCTCGGCTACATTTGTCATGAAAAGCAATGGGAATGACGCAAATTCATGGGGGATCCTCGGAGACAGGAAGAGCTTCTCCCTCCCCTGCCCCGGTGGGAAGGCAGCTCCGGAGCAGCGCAGTGCCGCCCTGCAGTCCCCAGCGCTCCCCTTCCCTCGGCTCCAGCAGCGTCGGGTTACGGAGGCGGCTCGCTCCTGTCCTCCTCTTGGCCCC